CATGTTAGATTACCTAAAGCATTTTGAATAGAAGCCATAAATACAGTCTACTATTTAGTGTATAAATCACCAAATTCAGCAATTGGATGCAAAATTTCTTAAGAGCTTTAGATTGGAAAAACAGTTGACTATAGCATGTTGAGAGTTTTTGGATGTCCTGCATATGTTCATGTACACGAAGGGGAAAGATCCATGTTGGAAGATAAATCTAAACATTGTATCATCATTGGGTATGAGAAGGGAATTAAGGGGTACAAGTTATGGGATCCAATAGTACAACGTGTCATATATAGTAGAGATGTGGTTTTTGATGAGTAGTCCATGGTGAAAAAAATCAGCAAGGAAGATGAAAATCTAGTTGTAGAATAGGTACATAAGCCTACATCTAATGATGTTTCCTCTAATGATGAGAGCAATAGTTTACCACATTCATCATTAGAGGGATCATTTGGCCTAGAAGAAAGTCAAGATAAGCAAGTGGAGCAAGAAAAGGCTGACTACCAATTAGTTAGGGATAAATAAAGAAGGTCTATCAAACAACCTATGAGATAAAGATTTGAAGACATGGTGGCATTTGCTCTCATATGTGGTGATGGTGACCCTTATGATTATAAGGATGCACTCAACCAAGATGATAGAGATAAGTGGCTAATTGCAATGCAAGAAGAAATGGAGTCGCTTAATAGAAATCATATTTGGGACTTGGATAACCACCTAAAAATATAAAGGTGATAGGTTGCAAGTGGGTATTCCACAAGGAAGGAACAACTAATAATGAAGAAGTGAAGTACAAAGGTAGATTATTAGCAAATGGATACAGTCAGAAGGAGGGTGTGGATTATAATGAGATTTTCTCTCCAGTAGTGAAATACTTATTTATTCGCACTGTGTTTATCCATGGTAGCTAAACTTGACTTAGAGCCTGAACAACTTGATGCTAAGACAACCTTCCTTCATGGTGAGTTGGAGGAAGACATCTATATAGAGCAACTAGAAGGCTTTAAATTGCTTGGAAAAGGAGGGTCTAGTGTGCAAAATAAAAAGATCACTTTATGGTTTAAAGCAATCACCTAGGTAGTGGTTTAAGTAGTTTGATGCTTGTATGATTAATTCAGGTTACAAATGAAGTTCTTATGCTTGTTGTGTTTACTACAAAATTCTAAAATATGGTTCACCTATTATTCTGTTGTTATATGTTAATGATATGATTGTAGCTAGTAAAAGCGTGGAGAATGTCTTGGAATTGAAGACCAAGCTTGATGCTAAATTTGATATGAAGGATCTTGGAAGGGCCAAGAAGATTCTTGGGATGGAAATTATTAGAAATAGGAACATAGGCAAGTTATGGGTTTCTGAAATGAAGTATATCCTAAAGATCTTGGAAAGGCTTAGTATGTCAATTGGTAAATGAGTTTAGGCACCACTTGCACAACATTTCAAGTTGTCAACAGAATTGTCACTAAGAACTGATGAAGATAAAGAGTATATGTCATGCATACCATATAGTAGTATTGTTGGGGGCCTTATGTATGCAATGGTATGCACTAGGCTTAATATTGCTCAACAGTTAGTGTTATGAGTAGGTAAGTAGGTATATGGAGAATCTAGGGAAACAACACTGGCATGTAGTAAAATGGATATTTTGATATCTAAGAGGTACTACTAATGTGAGTCTATTGCTTGACAAAAGGTCTTATAGAAATCATTTGGTTGGCTTTGTTGATGCTGATTATGCTGGAGACTTAGATAGCCATCATTCAAGGGTTGGATATATATTTCTTCTAATGGGAGGTCCCATTAGTTGGAAGGTAATGTTATATCCTATTGTTGCCTTGTCCACCGCTGAGGCTGAGTATATGGCAGTAGTTGAGGGTGCTAAAGAGGCTATTTGGTTAATAGGTTTTGCTAATAAATTAGATTTGCAACAAGACAAATCAACTTTGTTATGTGATAGTCAAAACGCAATTCACCTAGCAAGTGCACAATGAAAGACAAAGCACATAGATATGAAACTTCATTGGATTCGAGAGATAGTTTCAAATGACAAAGTACACTTGGATAAGGTGAGAACACATGAAGATATAGATGAAATTCTTACCAAGCCTATCACTACAAACAAGTTTAGGCGTTGGGCTGTTTTTCTCAGATATGAGATAAGAGGAGATGCTCCAATGGAGCAAGAGTGGCACCTCATGGATTTTGAGGTGTGAGTTCATTGGTGATCTATGAATGCATAAGTAGATTACTTGACATGAAGGACTCTTTACTTTACCTCAATTACAAGCCAAAGTGGAGAGTGTTGGGTTTATAGAGTTTCATTAAGGGTATTTTTGGAAGATCTTATAAATGTAAGTTGTGTTATGACTTGTAATCTCAGCCATTGGAAATAACTAAGATCCAAGGGTGGTATCTATTAGGTTTTCCTTTCTGTTGTCTTTTCTCTTTTGAGAAAAAGAGAGAGAAAAAGAGAAGACAAGAGGGAAAAAAGACATGAATGTGAAAGCAAGAAAGGCCTAAGGAGAGTTATTATAATTCTATTAGAAGCTTTTATAGTGGATTTCTTATTCTTAAACATCTGTGGACGTAGGCCATAATGCTGAACCACATAAACCTGGTGTGCTCTCTCCATTTCTCTTCCATTTTTCTTTATGAGTTCTGCATTTGTTATGCTTGAATACACTGTTCCATTAGCATAGTTTTAAAAATTTAGACAAATGGTCAAAGGAAATTCAACTGTTTCCTCTTTCAAAAGTAGGGAACAGGCTTCTAAATAAGCTAAACAATTTGAGCCATTCAAATTTGATCAAAGGACCCCAATTAAATTCTTTGCTGAAGTGGTAGCAGGTCAAGGAAACGTGTCCCTCAAGCCATTTTAAAAGGCAGTACTATGGTAAGGGGTAGACTGCCACCCAATAGGTCATGTGACTCTTTCAGTGATTGGGTAAAGGTTGGTCATTGTTTGTTAGGAGATGGGAAATGTGGTCTATCATTGTCCAACGGCCGGAAGGAGTATAAATTTAAATATGTAGAATGTAAAATCTTACATTTTGTTTTATTTTGTATGTTTTTGTATTGTATATATTTGTATTTGCACTCTTTCTAAATTGAGCCTAAAAACTAGGTTTAGGCTCGAAAAAGGAACTCCCACCATTTTCATAGTATTGCTGCTAATCTTATGTGGAAACCTGTTTCAAGTGACAATTCTATCATCCCAAACAAACCAAACCCTAATTTTTCCAGGGAAGTATATGATGATTCAGATGCAGACAGTGATTAGGAAGATCTACGCCAAGAATAAGACAATGACGAGTATGTACCTCCAAGTATTAGCAGTATCAATTCTTCTAAGGCTTACAAAGTCTTGGAAGAAGAAGAATTGGGTATAGAACTCCAATTTGATGATTCATCTAACCAATTTCCTTTGGAATTGGAAGGGATAGGCTGGAAATGGCCATTCCTATCCTTAAGGAAAGCCCAGTTGGGATTAATACAAAAATTAATTCAAATACAATGCAAAAACAAATTCAGGGTGTCCGTAGTTGGAACTTGGGATTCGACAGTGACCCAAGCACAAAAGCACAAGAGGAACAACTATTGGATGCATTCTGGGTATTTTTGATTAAGGAAAATTACTTAAAAGGAAGCACTGCTTGCATCAAACTGGACTAAATTCCTTATCCCCTTCCACATCATTAATAACTTTTTCAACTTCATTCGTCTTCCTCCTTCTCTTACCCCCTTCTCCTTTCATATCGTAAGTTTAGGTTCTGGCTCCTCAGCATTATTTACCTTCAGCCTCATTTTCACTATGTTTCTTTCCCCCATTTCCTTTATTAATAGTAGAAACAAAAGAGAGAGGAAGAAGGATAGATAACAGAAGACATAAATAGGAAGTATTTATAGAGAGGACTTTCCTTTACCTACATGTACTAGTGAGATTTTTTTTTTTCCTTCCCTTAAGAACTCTTTTCTTCTCACTTTATCATGGCTTTTCTTAAGAAACTCTTCGAGTGGTATGCTCTAAGATACTATTTTCTCTGAAGAAGAGCTTCTAGTTTAGTGTGACAGTTATGCAAACTGCCCCCTCCCCCTAGGTTAAGGACACCTGTCATTCCTACATAAAGAAAGGGAACTCCCATATGGGAGACTTTATTTAGTTTTGATGATTTAAGTAGCACACTAGCCAACCCACTTATTTGGATTATAAATTATTTATATATTATTTGGATTAAAAGAATACCCATCAGTAGTAATATATCAAATATTATCATATATAACTACTAATATATTTAGAATATAATGAATAMATGTTGAATGACATATGTTCTACCATTTTGTAAACTACATTATCAGCATAATAATCATTTCTATCAAAATTATTGCTCACTTCAAACTGTTTCTTTTTCAACTACCCTATTTATTGTGTTTCTTTTCTTTTTCAAAAAATATGTGAAGTTCATGTATGTTGGATATGTCATATGGAAGCTTACAAATAGTACTTGCTGCATTAAGGAAAGTATTGTAACATATCATAATATGTACTTATTTTAAAATGATATATATTTTAGTGACCGGAAAAGAGTATAGTAAGGTTGCAATCCTCATGGACATAAACTGTCATTTTACAAAAAATTATTAATAGAAAGAAAAATTATAATGAATTAATGCATAAAATCATTTTTATTTAATCATAGTTGTTAACTAAATAAAAAAATCTGTATTAAATTTTAGTTGTTGCTTAGTTTGGAAGAGTGCAAATATAAATATATAGAATACAAATGCAAGGTTTTCCACTGAACATAATTGTATTTGCACTCTTCCCAAATTGAGCCTAAAAGAAATTCTATGATAATTAAAAATAAAATGATATAACAGACCTTAGGTAAGGTAGAAAAGTGAAAGATAATTTACTAACAAGAAAAAGTATTTGAGTTTCAAATGAATAAGTTCACAAAAAGAGATGGATATGTCAATGTGTAATTTAAAAGTTAAGGGAGAACCTCTCCTCTTTCTCTTCCATCATTGCCCTCCAAGTCCGCAACAAGCGCATAAGGTTCAGTATTTGCACATTTTGCCAACCAAATGCCTTTAGTAGTTTGAGACCTAGAAAATAGATGTAAATTTTATTTAAATAACATTCATTTTTATGCTGAAAGTTTGTTCGAGTTGAAAATAAAATACAATATAAGATCTCACCTTCCCTTTTCAGCCCTCATTTCTTTAAAACTGGTCCCAAATAAGTGGTTCAAAAGTGTGCTCTTACCTAAACAAAATCATGGTTTGAAAAAAAAAAAACTTAAAAATCATGCATTTTAGAAAAAGGAATATGTATGAATATTCATAAAGCAAGCTATTGACACAGAGAGGTAATAATTTATAATAGCCTGTACCATAGTAGCATAGAAACATGTTTTTGGCTTAGGTGCCAGTTCAATTCATCGTAAGCCCTTTATGCCTCTAACATAGTTTAAATTAAGAATCCTACTAATTTTCTTTTCTTTTTTTTTATTTATCAGCAAGGAAAATTAACTTTATTAATAATTAGAGAGAAATCAAAAAACAGGATTATATTGTAATCAAGGCCACAAAAAAAGACTACAATAATGGCCAAAACAATTGCTGCCTATTGACCACCCTGCTTGGCTTAATGTGTCAGCCATCCCATTTGCAGACATTCTAATCCAAGAAAAAGTAGCATTGGGTTCCCTACTAAAAATTAATTTTAGATATCTCAAAAAATCCTATTTTAATTAAAACTCTTATCCTAAACCCATTGCTTTGTTAAAAGAATCCCTGCATTGCTTTGTTAAAAGAGTTCTCTATGGTCATGAAAACTAAAATGATGATATTATTAGGTCTAAATTAAAGCATCGGAACGTACTCATTTCTCAGTTGCCAAGTCACTCCTTTTTTCAGCCATCCCACTACAATTTTCAAATCACCTTCAATGATCGAGTTATTGATTCCTATTTCCTTGGCTTTTTCCATCCCACCTAGAGCTGCTAGAAATTCTGCTCTGGTTGAACCACCCTGCTTAATTGGACCAAGGAACAAAACACAAACAGTCGCATCCTTGTCTCTAAGTATTCCTCCAATTCCTGAGGGACCCACGTTACCCATTCCATTAAGATTAAAAAAAACACAAAACAGAGAATAATGGGTGAAAAAATGGTGTTGCAGCCGCTAACTTTAGTGAGATACCCAGGTGGCCTCCATGAATGGAAAAGTAACCTCTTTACACTGCAACCAGTGAGACATAGAACCCCAAAGTAGTATTGGAGATAAGCGTAATCGATCCAGATCTAATCTGGATTCTGATAGGCTTAACCGATCCAGATCGAATCTGGATTCTGAGATAGATAAGGATATGACTAGATCAGAATAAACATGATCCCTTCTGTAATCTATCTAATCTTCCGTTGATATTTGTTGCTATCTTGTATGTTTCCATATGTAATCCAAACTCTCTAATGGAGTCTATAAATATCATTAACTTCAATGATCAAATACACACTGAAGTCAATTCCCCTCGTACCAGTAGTTCTCTCTATTTTTCTCAAGTATTTTCTTAGTTCAAACTGGTAGCCACTTCACTTGTCATGGACATTCCAAGCTTGGTTGGTTAAACGGTGGATTTGGCGATGCAGACACAATAATAGGATAGAAAATTAAGAAGAATAAGGAGGAGGAGGAGGGAGAGAATGAGAGACGAGTTGAAGCTCGTAGGTGGTGATGAAGATGGGTAGTGAGGTGAGACATAGAAGACCAGAGGAGGAAGAGGAGGAGGAGAAGAAGATGAAAAAGAGGAGAGAGAGAAAGAGAACAGTGGCGATGCGGTGGCCTCGTGGTGGTGGGTGGTAGATGCGATCTAGTGGCAATGGTGATGGGGCTTTCAAGTTTTTGAATGATAGGAAAAGAAGAAAAAGTGAAAAACAAGGGATTTTTAGAGGCTTTTTCATACTTTTTCATTGAGCAATGTAAACTTTTTGTCCTTTTATGGATTGGTGTAATCAGAAAGTGCAATGGCCGGATGGGTGATTTTATGCGGTTTTTTAGTAGATTGAGGGGTTTGACCAGATCGATCAGGGAACTGAGTCATTGTTTAATCAATCTAATTGGCCGGTCGAGTCCAATTTGCTAAATATTGACGAGAACCTATTTCCTATAAAAAAATGCGTGGTGATTTTTGTTTGTCAGCCATACGATTGTTTGGAGCTCACAGCAATCACAACAGTCTTCACATTGGTTTATTTCTCAACTATTTTGGAGATTCTTCATTTCTACCATCACCTATTTGCAAATTGCAATTGCCACAAATATCCATTTGCCTTAAAAGAAACACCACTAACTACACATAACCTAAATCATTTGATTTTAACATCTCCCAATTCAATCAAAATGGTCAATGCACTTGTGTAGCTACATTCAAGGTAACAATTTTAGATAATATTTGGATAAGTTTTTGCTTTTAGACTTTCGGTTCCCAAAAGTTTAAAAGCCAAAAGATCTACTTTGTTTGCTTGGTAGTGCTTACTTTTGGAAGCAAAAGTCCATTAAGGGTTGAAATGCCAAAGTCAAAATAGTAGAATTTGAGATTTTGGCTTTGGGCTTTTTTGTCGAAACATACATCACTTGACTCTCGACTGTCTCACTCTCTCATCTCTCTCGACTCTCTCACACCCTATCTCTCTAATAGTAAGAAAATCATTCTTCTTCTTATCCTTTCTCCTCCTCCTTGATTGACCAAACCCTAACCCTAATTTTGGGGCAAAAAAAATCTTAGGCACAAAACCCAAACTAGTTTTTCAAACCCTACAGAGCTTTGATAAACAAATTCTATTAGGATCAGGGATGAATTGAGTGTCAAAAATTCCCACAAAATTGTCTACTTGAAACTAACAATAGCAATATCTTGTTTTGCAATCAACAAGTAAACCATGTAATAAAATTGGAAAGAACACCCTTTACACAAGGCTTCTATCTGAGGCTGCTACACCAGAGCCAATGTAACAGGCCGAATATAATTTATAGGGTAAATATGTACCACTTAATTGGGTTGAACTTTTAATAAGTTGAGGCCTTGAATGAGAGGTTGGAGGATGGGTATGGCATCTAGTTCTAAACTTTTACAGTTGCAGTTCTCAATGGTGGAGTGGTGGTGGCAAGGGTGAAAGTCATAAAAGGTGCAATCATGGTGACCATTGATCGATTAAGATTTTCGGATGTGAAGCAACTATTGGTTATTGTGAAGTTGGCAAACTAGAAAGCATTAGGAGTGCAACTTGGGTAGGTTGGGTTTAGTTGAGGGTCAACTCAGGACCAACCTTATTTCTCAAATCTCGGGCTAGGCCTAGCGAAACCAGAGGTTAAGCCCAAGTTTACCAACTCAAGTTCAACCCAACTCATCTCGGACTGGGTTCAAGCAAGTTGGTTGGATTTAAAAGACTTTCTGAATATAATTCTTCTTTTACTAATTTTTGTAGCCCCAATTTCTGGATAGAATAGAATGAAAATACGCACATATGTCATTAATAAGTGTATAGATAAATAATTTATACATGTATACATGTAGATATATAAGTAAAAAATAATAAAATAAAATGCATAACATGTATGTATATGTATATTTTTGTGCATTGGTGTGAGTTTCTCTTTCTTTTGATTGTATAAAATCTTCCTTCTAGTAATATACATAAATATATATGTTATACATACACATACATAAATATGTACGTGTTTTAGAGTGTATGTGATAGTATATATATGTAGTCCCAACCCACTGTCTAAATTAGCTTTGAAACCTCAACTAAAGCAAAAATTGAGTTTAAATTAGGCCTAAATTCTATAGGATAGGCTCAACCTAAAGCATAAAATCTCAAGCTCAACCTGTACAAAAAAAAACCATGTTGGGCTTCCTTCAATAACACTCGGAATGACATCCATCCAAGTCTCAAGGAAATTAATTGAATCTTGGGCTAATCAGATGTGTGGAGACGAGCTATAGGCTCGAAGTCGATTCAAAGGGCACAACGTGGGTTTAGAAAGATGCTCTCCAAATTTTAACAGATTGCTATGGGTTACAGGTAGTGGGTCAGATTTGTCGAAGTTCTAGCACCATATTGTGCTGGATGCCCTTGAAGGGCATAGGGAACACTCTTGGAACTCGGTTTACCATGTTTTCACCGCCATAGCTCTCATTCTTTTTATTCTTATTATAGGTAAAAATGAGAGAGAATGAATAAGATGTAAGTATTTGGATACAAAATTGTAGCCATGGCACAAAAATTGAGGCAGCTTAGAGCACGAAAAATATTGGTGCCATCTCATTCTTCCTTCGACTCCTATGTGAGATGCTGTCACTCACTCCCTTACCCCCCCCCCCCCCCCAACTCATTCTTCCTTCGACTCCTATATGAGATGTCGCCCATCTCCTAACGGAAGTTTCTCCATTCCCTATTAGCTCTTATTGCCATCTTATAACAAGATCTCTATCTCTGGGCTATTCATACATATTAGGTTTGTTATTAGGAAGGGGGTTTGGAGGAAGTTGTTTTAATGATTGGTTCAGTTCAGTTGCAAGTTGTTTTGCCATCAAATCGATTTGGCCAAATCCGTAGTTTGTCACTCAAAACCGATTGGCCATTAGTAAAAACCCACCAACTCGGGTTGTATCGATTTGGGTCTATTTTCGGTTTAGTTTATTTGTTCAAAAGAATTAAACTTAAAAATTAACTTCAAATTTCATAAATTACAATGATATTATTAAAAAATAAATTACAAAAATTAAATCTATGCTATAAAATATTTTAGACTAAGAAATATGGAAACTACTTTCCTGTATTGAAAAATTAAATTTAAAATATAAAATATTAATATCTATATATATTAAACCAAAGTCGATCTAAAATACTAGAAAACCAACCAACTCAGGTTGAGTTTGATCGGATTGTTTGTTAAAAGTTAAAATATAAAACAAAGCCCATGCATCGCACGTGTCCCGTCACCATGCCTCTCCTTGCTCCATTATCCCCACCCTGCATTCTACTTTCTCTCCTCTCCCCTTCCCACCACTCCCATTAAGCTATGTCACCCAATTACCTAAAAATATTCATATAATCTCTCTCTTAAGGTATCTCATTTAAACCAATAGGAAAGTATGATGTTGTCCCACTCCCTAATCAATTCCTAAAATCCATCCCCCCAATCTATATCCACTCTCCTTTATTTAAAATATTCATATTAATTAATAAATAGTTAAGAATGGTTGATATTTAATCCCACCCATAATCAATGAGTATTAAATAGTGTTATTACCAAAAGTTAATAAATACGGTTAGTAAATTACCAAAAATTAATAAATATTGTTATTAATTAATTCATTAACAACATTTGTAAAAATTGAAAACTCTTTAACTAATTTCTATAAAATTGAGAATTATATTTAACAATTATCAGAAATTATAAAATTTTAGTTATTGTTATTATTATAATTAATAACCAAATACAAATGGTGGAACAAAATATTATAATGTTAGAAAATAAAATTATTAATTAATTTATATTGAAAAATATAAGAATAATTAGTGCAATTTTGTTAGTAACTACCAAATAAAAATATTTATTTAATAACAATTTAAAAAAGTTTTTAATAAATCCCTATAGTTACACAAATGTAATAATTTTTTCAAAAATTTACATAAAACTACATTTTCATAAAATAACATTTTTGAAATCAAAAGATATAAAGTATTTGAAAGTTTCTTTAAAATGCATTAAATAATTATTGAAAATTATTAGAATATTTTGGAAATTTCAGAAAAAAATTTTACATTTGATAGATTTTGGAAATCCAATGAAAAATTATGTAATTTTCATTGCAAATTGTTGAAAATTATTAAAGATAAAAGACTATGGGAAATGCAAAACTATAATTTGAAAAAGTAATTACACAAATGATTAAGTTGGAAAAAGGAAATTATTGGATAGTTTATATTAGAAATTATAAGATAAATTAGTATAATTGTGTAAGTAAACCAATTGAAAAGAAAATAAATTATTTAATAAAAATTTGAATAAATTTTCAAAATTACACAAGTACAATAAATTTTCCAAAATTTTCATAAAATTACAGTTTTGAATATTAAAGACAATTTTGTGTACTTTTAGAAATCTACCATGTGGTTGATACTCAATATATCATTTTGATCATTTCTATCATCAAATTGATTATTGGGTAGACGAGGACAGTATTTTCAAAACTGAATCAAAACAGATGGTTAGACCGAAAAAATTGGAAACCAAACAATGTTTCACCTCAAAACTGTTTCTTGTCCAAAAACCATTTATTTGGTTAGCGAAGTGCTAACTTGGGTAGTCGACCACCAATCCAAACAACAGTTTTTGTCCTTTTTGTTTTTTCAATGTTTCACCTCACACTTTGTATGAGCCACATGCAGGTCGTGTAGTGCCGACCCAACACGACTCAATTTACACCTCTACTTGAACTCGACCAATACTAGGGAGAATGAGAGAAAGAGAGGGCTGCTGACGTGGGAGCTAATCACACTTTATAATAGAGTATAGATGTAGATAGATAGATGTGGGAAAGTGATTCCTGTTGTATGGTAAGATATATAGTTTGGGGCCGAGCTACCTCCGTCTTGTGTAGCTTCTCGTATTTCCACCAAAAAAAATGGTGAGATATATAGTAGGTTGCTTTTAAAAGTTTAACTAACCCTGTGTTTTCTTATATGTCGTGAAAGTGAATTCCCTAATGGAGATTTGAACTTCAATTATTCAAATTCAACTTATTTGAGGCTCAATGTGAACCTGCATGAATTCACCAAACTTTTAAGTTTCCTGCAATAGATAAGGAAGCATTTTGAATGGTACTTTCTAAATTAGATAAGCCTTAATCTACTTTACGTTTAAGTCCAGCTAAATTAGACTTTTAAATTAATTTACCAAATATTTAAGGTTTAAAGGAAGTTTACCGAACACCCTTATCTACCGAAAGGGTGTCAATGGACCGGTTTTGGATTGGACACCGTCCAGTTCAAAACTAATTTGGACGAATTGAATGGATCAAGATATAATGGGTTGGATCAATTTGGTCCAAAATATTTATTAGATTGGATTGGATCTGGTCTATTCATAATAAATTTATATTGAATTGGATTAAGTCAATATCTGGTCTATTTATATAAGATAAGAATATAGGTGTCAATGGACCGGGTTGGGTTAAAACCAATCTAAATCAAAATGAATTTGAGCAAATTGGATGGTCCAGGTATTGAATTGGACCAGTCCAAAATAGCCCAAAATATTCATTGGACTGGATTGGACCTGATCCATCTATAATGGACCCACATTGGACTGGACCGGATTGGACCAAATCCAGTCCAATTGACAGCCCTACCAGTAACGAACACCCTTATATCTACATTTTTGAGTTAAATTAGATTCCTTCAAATTACTTGATTTCTCATTCTAATTTTTTAGCTTTTTCACTCATCCAATTCAGCATATTCATTTTTACCACACTTATTTTTTGATATATTGTTTTTTAACCTCCCAAACACTCTATTCCATACAACACAATTGATCTTATAACTATTTTATATAATTTTTCTTTTAATTTAAGTGGTATTCACCTATCACATAAAGCTCTAGATACATCATTCCCTTTTACATATCCTGTTATAATTCAATGGATGGCATCTATTTCAATCTCTCCCTTGTTATGAATTATCGAATCAAGATGTCAAAAAGATTACATTAAACTATATTTTGATCTCCAATCCTAAATAAACTCTGATTTGCACTCATATTATTATTATTATTATTATTATTATTATACATTTTAGTTTAATCTTACATATTTTAAAATTTCTTGTTTCCAAATAACTTGTCCACCATAAACCATATATCAAGTCATTCAAATATGAAACAAAGGTGATAGGTTTGACCGATTAAAGTTGAGGGACTCTGCAACGCCAATGAAGCATGAAAAAACCAATAATTAAAATAAATTCTAAAAAACATTTAACCGCATGATATATTTTACGGAAAAGTAAGAACAGACTCAATAATGTAGATTTCTGAATTCTACTGCAGATGTATAAATATCCCATTCTATCGATTCAAAGCTGACACTTATCCAACTGTACTTTGAGTCTGAAAATTCTGACCCGGGCTAACCGTCTTTCTCCCTATGTTTTATTTCAGTAGTTGAAATGATGAGCCCATAGTTAATTGGTAAGTCGTAAATGCGTCTCAGTAGTTGCAGATGTTTGTTAACTTCTTGTTTATCAATATGAATGAATTTATTTTTAAAATAAAAGAAATTTTTATATCAACACAAGTTCAGCTTTATGTAACACACGCTTGATTGTAATAAAATAATATTCCTTGCGTGAATCATAAAAGTATATATAGAGAGAGAGAGAAAATCCATACCGCTACTCTGAGGACCCATGATTGAGATGACGACGTAGGAAGATCCGGATTCACCCAACTTGATATTTTCCGAGAACTTGTCATTAAATCTACCATTTCCTTCAATTAGTTGGGTAGCATAACATTTGTCCTTCCTTCTTGCTGATAAAAGAAAACATTTTACTTTGTACCGTAAAAAGATTAAAGTGTAAAACAATCTTATATGAATTTCAATACATTGATTTAACATTTATAGTTTATGATAGATGAGTAAAGAAAACAGAATGAATCTTTGCAATTTGTGAATCCCGCCAATAACCAATAACTAATCATGAATAAACATGGCATTCCTTACCTATGGAAGATGGAACCATTCCTGTGTAAGAAACATAAATAAGAAAATTAACTGCCCAGAGTGATCAGTCAAAGAGGTAACAAACCGAAGTTGCTCTGGTGTTTCACCATTCTCACTATTTTCTTGTTTTAACTGCAATATCTTTACCGATTATTCAAGTTGCTTTGATAAGGTATAATTTGTTTATCTTATACTACTCCATTGCCTGCAGTCTGTAAGTCGAATTCTTCTGGCATATTTCTAGTGACTAGTAGAACTATATGTGCGTCGCACGTGGTAATATCAAATGATAATGATGATAATAGTCAGCAACCAAATGACCTTACTGGTTGAACCACTAATCTATTTAACTAGGAAAATGGACTATGATTAAGACATTAATTCGTTTTTTTTTTTTGTATTTTAGTCATTTCTATCTTTACTAACAATAATTCTTATTTTTCAAACATATTTTTGTTTTGATATGAAGAATATATAATATTAATGCATGCTCAATTTTTTTATAAAATTTATAAAATATATATATATTTTTTTATTTATTATTAATTATTATTATTTAATTTATAAGATATAAAAATTCGTTATTTACCAAGAGAAAATGCAATTCCAATATATTGTTTGAATTTTGGTTTTTAATATTGTAATCAAATAAATGATATATATATATATATCATTTATATATAATATATATGTTATTTATTATTTATTTATAAATATGTTATTTATATTGCATTTTTGTAAACTTCTTATATGATGAAAATAGTTGCAAAAAATAATTATTTTTTTCTTTTTTTGATTATTATAGTTTCTTTTACTTTTAATAATTTATTATTTTTTTAAGTTAAACCGGATCGTATTAGATTCGGATATCCAACATCTTGGTCGGATTCAGATTTAAATCAATATTTATGAGATCCGATCAGACCTTCGGATCAAATCGAATTCAAATATACCCTGGTTCAAATCCAATCTGATCTGTTTTCATCCCTACCAAACCACTTGCCTACAATGGCCTATATAATTAAATATTGGACCATTTGATATGGTTAGTGGGGACATGTGTTAGACATTAATGCTCTTTATTTTTTATCTTAATTTTTATTCCAATTCTATTATTAATGAAAATAAATCTCATTAATACACTTTTTTATATGATGACTATATAATATTATAGAATGTACCCAAAATTATCTACATTTTCTAGAACTTTATGTATTTTATTTGTTAATAATACATCATGTGTTGATCCATTTGACATGGATAGTTGAACCACTAACCCACCACTTGAATGGAAAAACCATTTTTTCTTTTCGATTTATTTTAAGTCATGTATTACATTTTCATCATCAATATAAATAAATCTTATTTTCGCATTTAATTTCGAACGTGGCATTATCAAATGATGATGATAATAATAATTAGTAACCAAAGGACCTTAATGCTTGAATCGTTAACCTATTTAACCAAGAAAAAGGACTATGACATTAATTCATTTTTTTCTTTGTATTTTATCCATTTCTATCTTTACTAATAATAACTCTCATTTTTTCAAACACATTTTTGTTTAATATGAAGAATATGTATGTTCAATTTTTTTATAAAATTTATAAAAATTCTATATTTTTTTATTATTTAATTTATGAGATAATAAAAATTACTTATAAGAGGAAATGCAATTCTAATATATTGTTTGAATATTGGTTTTTAATGTTGTGGTCAAATCAATTATTTATATATAGTATTTATATTATTTATATATAATATATATGTTGTTTATTATTTATTTAAAAATATGTTATTTATATTACATATTTGTAAGCTTTTTATGTGATGGAAATAGTTGAAAAAATACTTATATTTTTTGTTTTTTATTTTAAATATTATATTTTCTGTTTTCTTTTAATATTTTATTACTTTTTAAAAAAAATAAATCAGATTGTATCATATTCGAATATTTGACATCTTGATCGAATTTGGATTAAAATCAATATTTTTGAGATCCATTCTAATCTTTAGATCAGATCGGATTTGAATATACTGATCTGACATGTTTGCATCCCTACCAAACCACTTGCCTACAATAACTTAGCTAATTAAATTATTAAACCATTTGACATGGTTAATCGGGTCATGTGTTTGACATTAATGCTCTTTACATTTTATCATAATTTTTATCCCACTTCTATCATTAGTGAAAATAATTCTAATTAATCACCCTTTTTATATTATTATTATAAAATATTATAGAATGTACCCAAAATTATCGACAAATTTTTATATTTTCTAAAATTTTATGTATTTTATTATTTAATAATAATATCCATTTGACATTGATAGTTTAACCACTAACCCACCACTTGGATTGAAAAACCATTTTGCTTTCTCTATTGATTTTAAATTATGTATTCCATTTTCATCATCGATAAAAATAATTCTTATTTTCATACTTTTTTGTTTAATATGGTGAATATATAACAATATAATTGTATCAAAATGCTTTATATATATATATATGTGTGTGTGTGTGTGTGTATGTATGTGTGTGTGTATGTATGTGTGTATGTATATATGTATGTATGTATGTATATATTTAATATTCGTTAGCTATGACATCATAGATTGACCCATTTGACCCAGAATGTTAGATCATTGACCTACTTACCATCTATATATGGAAATGGTTTCATTTTCAACGTGGTTTTAAATTATGCATTTCATTTATATCATTGATAAAATAACTATTATTTATCATACTTATTTTGGTTTATATTATTAGTATATAATATTATAGATGTGCCCAAAATTGTTTCATATTTTTTGTACTATTCTATTTAAAAAAATTTACTTTTAATTATACATCATTGATTAACCGATTTGACCCGAAAGATTGAATCATTAACCCACCCCTAGATAGGAAAATGGTTCAATTTCCCATTGGTTTTAAGTTGTATATTTGATGCCCATCATTAATAAAATTATGTCTATTTTATTATAATTATTTTTTAATATTACAAATATATAATAATAGAAACGTGTTATTTTTTTCAAAATTTCTTTTTTCTATATTTTTATATTTCTAAATTTGTATTATTCATTTATGACATCATGAAATTATCCATTTGACACAAATGGTTGAAGTACTTACCCCCCACAATCTAGATGGAAAATATGATTTCATTTCTAGGTTTATTTTAAAAATATAAAATTTCGTTCTATTAATAATCATTGTGTATGGATTTATTAGTGAAATTTAATGATGATTAACAAAAGTACTTTTTATATTTCTAAATTTGTATTATTTATTTATGATATCATGGAATTATCCATTTGACCCAAATGGTTGAACTACTTACCCACCACCTAGATGAAAAATATGATTTCATTTCTATGTTTAGTTTAAAAATATAAGATTTCATTTTATTAATAATTATTGTGTATGGATTTATTAGTGGAATTTAATGATGATAAACAAAAGTATAAATGCTGGATTCAATGAGAGAGAATGTGATTTATTTAATGATTTAAATGTGAGGCTTAATGAGAGGTAATTAAATGTACTTAATAGTATTCTTTTAGTTAAATTATCTGCCCTTTCAATGGAGATGAATTAAATTCAAGATGAAGGGTATTTCAGTAAAGAAAAATTCCAGAAGCCAATACCTCCTCATTCGCACTTTTATAAGTAGTATAGATAGGTAACATGCATCTAGATGTAACAATGTGAAATCAAATACAGCAAAGCCAATCTTGGTCGTCCGTTGAGATAGAACTCCATTGATAATAGATCTGTTAATGATATCCGAAAATTTGCAATTTGACCTAACATTCGATCCTATTATTTTATGTTTCGATGATATGTACATTTATGTAGTTAAATTAGATTCATATTTTGTAATTTGTATTTAATTAGTAATTGGATTGGATTTGGATTTAGCTTCGTTTGAGCCAATTAAAATCTGAATGTGATTATCTTATACTATTTATAATTTATTGATTTTCATATATAAATTTTATATATTATATTTAGGTATTGTTTGATTTCACTTAAATAAGTATTTATTCAAATTTAAATAAATACATAAAATAATTTGATGCCACACAATAAGTGAAAAATAAGCACTTATTCCTGTTTGGAAAATAAGTTAGAAATAAGTGCTTATTTCAAAAATAAGTACTTAATAATTAAGCAACCTTAGAGCTGCTTGTTTTAAGTACTTATTGTCTTATTGAATAAGTGCTTATTCATATTATTTGAACAAATCTATCCCTAAAAATTTCAAAATGCCCATATTTCCCATAGGAATGGAGTAAATCCTCTTGTCTTCTCCACTCACGTAAGGGAACCATTGCAACAACAGGTTCAACAAAGGAGGCAACCGGTGACTTATCAAATGACCGTAGAGTGCCTAGTTTTTTTTTTTTTTTCTTGCATCTACTCTCTCTCTCTCTGTATTTAGGAGTTTTTTTTTTTTTTTTTTTTTGACGACTAAACTAGTAAAGTGCTTTTTTTCCAGATTTGGTTTTTTTAATGGATAAAGTGACACCGGAAACTTGTTGATGACGAGAGTATGGCTTCCTAATTGAACCTCTTGGGGGTTGTTTTAGTGCTATTTCTTTTTTTATATATTTTAGTGAAAAAGCACATAAACCTTTTTTTTTTTTGAAACTTTTACTGATAGTATTCAAATAATAAAGCATTGTTACTATTATTATTATTGTTGTTGTTGCCTCACAAGAATCTAAACCCTTCCTTCCACCTATGAGAAGGACGAATGAAGTTGCATAGATCTTGTGGTTTTTATTACACAATAGTTACCATATTTATTGGTATGAAGGATTGGGGAACGGATGTAGTAGGCACGTTAGGTAAGCACAATCAAAAAGGAAAACATAAATGAGTCCCAACTCCCAACACGTTTAGGTTTTTCTTTTTCATTGTTTTTATTTTTAATTATTTTGATGAAAATAATAAAATAATGGATAATTTCTATCTAATAGAGCAAAAATATTTGGATGAAAGGCGCATTAACTGTGACATGTATCACACAACTATTACGTGTTCACTCATTGTGCTTGCCTAATGTGCCTACTACATCCGGACCCAAAGGATTGTCATGTGTACAAACTAGAATAATTTGAAATGTAGATACCAAACAAAAATAGGAGTTTCAAACACATCTTACAAATTTCTGCTTGGAGCAAATAATAATTTAATGGTCAATTGGCAATGGCCTACATTGGTAGGTCCTACAAAAAAGAAATAAACTTGAATTCATTTTACAATATTAATAGATTCTGTTGGATTTTAATCTCATTAGATATTAAATCTAATGGGGTTTGATTAATTAATTACATTGAAAACACACCTATACATATATCTTGAAAAATAGTTTTTTTTCATACTAAAATCAGTTTTCTATTTGTCCACATTGTAAAATTACTAAACATGTTTTGAGTTTTTAAATAGGGACTTATTTACGGTCCTTAGAACTATAAAAGGAGAGTATGGAGGCTTGCTACCACGCAATACACATGTACATGTGTGCATACGTGTGTACAGTGCAATGAGATACTTTAGAGGTGCACTTTGCTCGCATCCATGTGATGAGGGGTGTAAACGGATTGAATTCGAATCAGATCAGGCAATATCCGAATTCAAAACCGATTAGAAAATCTGATATCTGACGGATATTGAAAATTATTATCCAAATTCAAATCCCATTAAATATTCAAATATTCGATTCAACTAAAATTTGATTAATTAATTATTTTAGATAATTAATAAATATATAATATAAATATTTTATTGATATAAAGTATATAAATATATAAATTATTTATGTAACTTAATTATTATATATAAATTATATAATATATTATATATATTATATATAAGAATTAAATAATCAATCGAATTTGGATATTTGTCAAATCGAATCAGGTCATATCCGAATTCGACCAATTAGACATTCAAATTATCAGAATTCGATTCGATTATGTCAAATATCGAATTTGAAATTGGATTTTCGAATACTGTTTACACCCCTATGTTTGGTTCACATAAGGCAGTATTAACTTTTGGTGTGAGGCTTAATCATGACCATTGTTGCTTAAAAAAAATCCAACAATCATGATTTGATTGGGTGTGATCAAGAGGCACTATTCAAAAGTTAATAGCCATGAACTGTTACATAATTTTAATAGTTACAAAATTTGAAATTGTGACTATTTAAAATGCCTTTTCTGAACCAACACCTTTCTTTTCTCCATGTCTCTTCAGAAATTATAGGGGCATGAATCAAGCAAATGAACACAAGTTTTTGAAAAATCACTTGTCTCTCTCAGTTTGATCTGCTACTGTCTCATAGAAGGTTTTTTCAAAGACTCTTCAACTTTGTTGGTTGCAGATTCTCGCCCAAGGCTCTATTGTATACTGGGAATGAATTTTCTTGAGTTGGGGCAAATAATATTGAGTGGGGGGCAAGAAATATTCTAAAGACAGTGTCTTTAGGCATGCCTCAAACCTTCTTCTCCAAGTTTTGTGACCCCAATTTCTAACAAATTCTATGGGAAAGAGCGATTCTTGAGTGACTCTTTTACTTGAGAAAGTAATACTCTTCCTAGATTTGGGCAAATTACTTATGCATAACCTGATAATCGCTAATATGATGGACAATATTGTCCCTTCGATAATTTCAATTCTTTTTTTGTTCCTAGATTTGTCATTGCACACCTTTACTTGGGAAATAAAAAAATATTGGTAAATATAATGTTATTATACAAATAAGTGTTTATCAAAAAACACTTATATATCCAAGTAAGTCATTTACCTAAATACAAACAACACCTAAATCTCATAAAAATGCATTTTAATAATTTAATGACATTTATTCAAAATTTGCTAAACTTTATTTTTATACGTAGTGCAACTCTACCAAAATGGAAGGTAGGTTCAAACCTAAGTTGCAAATATGCACAATACAAATACATATTTGTATTTGTATTCCAAGACTCAATTTGGAAGGAGTACAAATACAAATATATAGAGTGCAAAACATTATATTTTTTATTATTTTGTACCAATACTGTAGGTACTTGTGTTTGTACCATTTCCAAACTGAGCCCATGTATTGAGTTTAATAAAAAAACGAAGTTGAATAAACAATCCATATTTCATATAATTAACAAAAGATGTAGCATCTGTTCATGGAGGTTTAAACGTTCAATCATCAGAGCAATAGTTTAGCAGTAGAAAGAAATCTAAAAGAAAACATATCATTCGGTATTAGGTTTTTGAAATGACTTTCAAAAGTCAGCATGATGAGGTGAATTCAGTCATCTCTCCAATTCATGCATTAAACACACCTAGCCTATCTATTCCCATACAACAAATAGTTTCATTGAAAGAATAAACAAAATTTATATACGAGAATGAGGAAAATAGGTAGTTCAGACAATAAAACACCCAAATAAAGAAATTTAAACACACCAAAAATAATTAAGAGATCAGGTTCACATCATCCATTAGAAAATCAGAATAAATTTTATGACAGGAAAAGGTAAAACATATGACAGAAGGAAGAAACAAATGAAGAATAAGAGGGGACAAACCCATGGAGTCGGTTGCTATGAAGACAACTGAAAGAAGCAAACTGTAAAGACAATGGACGCCAAAATTTTCCGAAGAAACGCTCGACTTGAGAGTAAAGAGAAAGCGCAGGAGACACCCGACACATGACTTTATTTATAGCAAAGCTATTGTACGGAGATGAACATCCAGCAAGCCACCAGCTGGGAGTTCAGATTTGCTGCCAACAATTTCTTCCGATACTGTTCCAACTCGATTCGTATCAACGCCCCACCATTGCACATGAGATGTTCAAGTGGGGACTGGGGGTATACTCCGTGGGGTGTTAATCTGAAGTCTGTCCACAAATTGCTAGTACTGTTGTATTTGGGAACATTTTCTATAAAATAAATGATAGGATAGATCTTCTTAATATGCGGCTGCTGTGATCTATTGGGCACCGTTAGGAGTGCTTTACTAGACTTTACATAGTTCGTACTGGGGCACGAAATAAAAAACTTCACGGAATTTAGACTTGGGGCCTTTTTGATTACTCTTAAGTTTGAATGTGAAATAACAATAATTATATTAAGAGGTATATTAATATTGGTAAGTAGAGAATGTTGTTTTAAACTTTGAATTTTGAATTCTAAAAATTTTTAAATATTCATTTTGACCCCATATATGATTGATTGTCTTTTTTGGGAGTATCATTGGAAAACAAAAACTTGTATGATTGCACTTTAAGAGATAAGAGATAAGAGGAAAGACAACCATTTTTCTCTTAAAGTTAAAAGATTTCTCTTAAGAGATAAGAGTTAAGAGGAAATGAACAAACCCTTATGGATTAAAGAGTGAGTTAGCATTGGGTTGGAAAAACCTGTTGGCTGCATGTACTTCGTTAGGATGACTGGTTGACATTGGGTTGGAAAAACTTGAATTTTTAAATTTTAAATTTTTTATTTTTTTATTTTTTTATTTGAAGCTTTAAATTTAGATTTTGATATTTAAATTCCTAAAATTTAAATTCAAATATATTTTTTATTTTTTTGTTTTTTTGCTTTTTTTTTTAAATTCAAAATTTAAAGTTTTGAAATTTAAATATATATTTAGATTTTAAAATTTAAATGAATTTTGAATTTTTAAAATTTTATTATTTATTATTATTTTAAATTTGAAATTTAAATTCAAATTCAGATTTTGAAATTAAGATTCTTGAAATTTAAATTCAAATTCGAATTTTTGAATTTTTAAATTTTTAAAAAGTGCAAGTAAATCAACTAGACGACCTAGGGGCTGACCTAGGATTTCGTAAACTAGTGGTTCAACCAATGTGAATCCTCTTAGGTTAACTTGGAATTACACCACTTCCTTTGGTTAGCCAGGTTAGAGTTGAGGATGTAGCAGGCTCTCCTTTCTCTCGCAAGGACCTAATTAAGTAACCACAAAACACGCTTTGGCGTAGCCATTTAACCTCTTTCCTTAGACACTAACCGATGATTATAGAAAGTAATTACAAGCTTTCTTAAAATTCAACACACCTCTGAACCAAGTGTGAGGCTTCCGTAAAGGATCTTGCTATCCAATTTTTAAATTAGGGTTTAGGGTAAACTGCACAAGAAAGGTGGTGATTTTTGGGCCAAGGAAGGGTGATGAAATCCACACCTTATCTTATTTAAATAGAATTGCCCTTAAGTAGATTAACGGGAAGAAAAAATAAATAAAGTAAATGCAACTAACTACAATGCATAAACAATTATCTCTAAAATGCAATTCAGTAATATAACATAAAATAATAAAATAAACTACGCAAACGAAGCAATTAAAATAATAGAAAGAAATAAAACTTAACACATTCACAACTAACAAGATGATGTCAACAATTAAATAAACCTATATGATGCATGCTCTAGCATATGTAGCCCTAAATGATGGAATGCAAATGCAATATATATATATATTAATTAATTTTTCAAATTTTTTTAATTTTTTTCAATTTATTTTATGTTTATCATTTTCTAAAATTCGAAAATTTAAATTTAAATTTAAATTTAAATTCAAATTCAAATTCAAAATTTAAACTCAAATTCAAAAATTTAAGCAATTTCCTATTTAACGGTTAATTATTCAATTAAATAACAAAAAAAGGGAATTAAATAATGCAGCAACTAATTATAACAAACAGAAAATAAAAGAAATAATTATACTAAGAAGGAAACTAACTACTACCAAAATAAATTCTAACAAGAAAAATTATTATTCTAAAAATCAAACCAAACATAAAATAAACAAAAGAAAATTATGCGGCAATAAATAAAATGAAATAAAATAAACAATTTTTTTTGTTTTTTATCAGAAATAAAAGAACAACAATAACCTAATAAAATAGAAATTCAAACAAGAAATTAAAATCAAGAACGAAAAATAGATCTAGACACAAACAGAAGAAAAATAATACTAAAATAAAATAAATCGAATCTAAAAAAATTAATTAAAAATTCAAAAATCACTATTCTACCAAAAAAAGAGTTCAAAAATAAAAACAAAAAAATTAAAAATAAAATCAGACGAGTACACCTGAAACGCAATCCAATTTCTCTTATCTTCTGTTCTGTTCTGTAGTCTCGCAATGCTCTGTTACCCCACCTTTTCCTATTCCATCATGCAAAATCAAAGAGAAACAAGAATTAAACTGAGATAGCGAATCGAGTATTAAAACGAAAAAGAAAAAGTAATGAAACAGATCCGGGTAAAGCAAATAAAAGTTTTTCTCTATGCTTCCCCGGCAACGATGCCAAAAAATTGATGTGTCCGGAAGTGTATCGTTAAACACTTCGAAACACCAGTTTAATCATTTATAAAATTTTTCCAATTCTCAAACAACTATAAACGTAGTTAATGGTGAGAACGGGTCGTATCCATAGGGAAGCGAGGGAAAAATTAATACACAAGAGAGAAGTGCAAAAATATAAAACAGAAATTAAAACTAAAATAAAGTAAAAGTAATTGGGATCCAATTCCAGAGGTGGCAGTGGTAGTGTTGGCGAACTGCAAGTAAGAACCCCTCCTCTTGCCTGGGCATCATCTTCTTCTTCTACCCTTGAACTTCTCAAGATCAACTTTCCATCTTACTTGGGGTAGAATCCAATCCTTTCTCAGGAGCCTTAGGGTCCTTTTTTATAGAGAATGAAGGAAAGAACTGGGATTAAAGAGAAAGAGGGGGCAACAATTGGGTTTTAGCAAAAATATGGGTGCCCTAGGGTTTAAAATGAAGGATTATGATGGTTTTAGGGTGACCCTAAGTTTGAGAAGAAAATGAAAAGGCACCCAATATCATGTAAGGCTAAAATTTAATGGCTAAAAGTTGAATGGTAAAGGTTATAAGTTAGGTGGCTAATAGGGTTAAAATGCTAAAGGCCACAACATTGCATTTAATTAGGATAAAGACACATCTTGACTATTCTAAGGGCGAAAACACCCCTAAATTGATGCTCTTAAGGCATCAAAATGCAAAGTTATCAATAATGCATTTGGATACTTTGCTCAAAATGATAGTGTCCTTGTGTCATTTCAAAGGTGTCCCGATTGGGATTTCTCCATTTTTTTTTTTTTTATCATCTCCATCCTTGTCTTGATGATAATTAACTGGATGTACTTAAACCTTTGTTTGTGTATTTATTTTCATATGTCTGGATTAGAATAGACTAATGTTACCAATCCTTAGTATATAATGTTTTAATTAATGGAAATCAAAACGACTACTTTCTCTATACTGTTAATAGTTAGAAAACTAGTAAGAGTAAGTTCATTCCAATATTTTGTTGAGGATTCAGCTAGTAAGAGTAGTCCCAGAAATCTTGAACTCATCATAAAGCAAATTATAAGAAGCAAGCCAAATTTTGTTAGAAGACACAAATAAAGAGTGGTACATTGATAAGAAAAATCAAATGAAAGCTAGGTTACCAAAGAAAATAAAATCATCCAAAATTCAAGAAAAAACCTATAAGTCAATGTCATAATAGCTTTATCAGAATTTTGAACTCCAAGGACAAGTATAATTGCAACATCAGGTCTTGGAACTGACATCAACAGATGAGTGGAGATGGGATTGGTCCTAGGACTGCCAGGGGAACCAAAGAAATGAGTACCGAGTTTTCATTTTCTTCCTAGGTATAATAGACAAGTGTTTTCTTTTCTAACCTTGTCGTCTAATTGGAACCTTAAACACTTTATGTTTGGTAAGTGATGGCTTTTGATTAATAAGTGCCATGAATAGATTTTTATTAGGCTTTAGATTCATTAGTCATGCCCCAATTTCCACCTTCATTATGGGAACTTTGTCTTAATAAGATGAGAACAGGAATATGTTAGAAAGAGATTTTATCTACTTAGCTATAGAGACCCCAATAATATTGGAGATTTATCATTTTAGTTGACATCTAAAGCCTAGCATCTAATGTATTTTTGCCAAGACATCCAAACAAAAAAGAATAAGGGTAAGTTCTTGATGCTATCTGAATTCTTGGACTTTGCAAAGGCCAAGGCAGTTCCTGGAATCATGATCAACATAATGGTAATCTTTTCCCCCAACTATACACAGTTTTTTTAGGTTTCTTATTGAATTTCTTTTAAATAAATTTTAAATCTAAAAAATTTTCTATTGCTAATAGCTATATGATCCTTGGAGATATTTTCGACAAGAGAATACAAAAAATATTTACAAACCAAAAAGGAAATTAACCAATGTATCCCTACTATTTGGGTCTTTGGAGGGATGGGTTGGATGCAGATATAACCTAAGGTAGTTTTGTATAGAGTGAATGCTCTTAGACTTAAACTAGTGTTCTTAACATAACAAAAATTTTCACTTGACTCGTGGATTTTTACTTAGGGGATAAAAAAATTAGAGAGATGTTTCACTTGGCCTGAATTGCTTCTTAGAGCATTTTGTCTTATTCTAGCCAATTCAACTAGGCTTTATCTATGTTTCCTCTATATAATATCTAACTTATGCTATAATTGATGCTTGATTCATTTTGTTTTGTTTCTAACTTACTATATTCTATTTTTTGAAGGAATGTAACCCGCTACAAGTGTTCTATTACAAGACAGCTACATGTAGAATAAAGTTAGAGA